CCACCGGTCGATCACCCCCGGGTCCTCCGTTCCAAGTCCTACGGCTATAGCCGATTCAAGTGGACCACTGCAATGCTCTCTATTTACAATTATTTTTCTAAGCCAAGAAACAATCATACCAAGGCCTTTGTTTTCTTTTTATGGTTCGGGACGATCTGGGCGTTAAGACGGGCCGTGAGTAACAGTGGGGAGAGAAAGAGGAAAGAAGCACGTCACACTCCAGGGATGCAGAGGAGAAAATCAGTGGCTCAGAAGGAACCACGAAACACGGGTGGCTTGAAGCCGATCAAGGGCCTGTTCTCTCTCTTCCAATCCCTGTCCAGTACAGACTACTAAGAGACCAGTCAGAGGCTAGGCGGTTACCGAAAGAGTCCATTGAAGAGAAATGAGAAAATTAGAGAGAAACGCAAAAAGCAAAAAAAAAAAAAGATAAATGGAAATAAAATAAAATAAAAGATAGAGAATTTTTAGTCCAGGATTTGTCCACCCGATTTTAGTCCGAATTGAAATGAGATGTTCACACGTAGCATCGTAATCTCAACTAAGAGACCCCGTGATGATGCATCCAGAAGCTCGTCTTTTCTTTTTTTTTTCCTTTGGCTGTTCCTTCTGTTTCTTCTGTTTCTTCTATAGTTGTAAATGGGTCCTATTTCCAAATAGAGTCTGGAATGGTGCATAGATCTGAAATTGATGTACGGAGGACACATAACATTGTTCCCAATAGTCGAGATAGCCGGGATAATAGCCCTCCAAGAATAGTAATAGCAAATACATAACATGAATATTGATTTAATTTTCCATTCGATTTTCCATTTGATTTTCCCCATATTTTTCCAGGGTATACCCAACAAAAAATAAAAGCCCAGAGCCAGATCCCAGTAAGGGGGAAGAGCAAAGAGACGCTGAACATCCAGCCAACTCGACCCCAGTACACCGCTAATTTCTTCCTGGAAAAAAAAAAACACCTTACAACATAAGCCCAGGTGAAAAAAAAAGGCAGAGCCAAAGTCCCCTTGCGTTTAGTCCTTTTTTATTACTCTATATTATTACTACCAATGTATTCTCCACTAACAGACTAGACTATTCGCGGACGTGATTTCCAACCCCGAAAATCTTGGTTCAAGGTTGACAGATGTCAATTCCCATGCATTCCGTAAAAAAAAACCAAAAGTGACAGCTAGGGATTCACCGATTATTATTATCATTATTTTCAGTGCTACCCTGATATGCATTGACCATCTAGATTCAATGGTTAATTGATACGATTTCGGGGAGATCATGATCGGAATACGATTTCCATTTTCCAAGTATTTGCATTTGAATGCTGCAAGTGGCGTCGACCACACAGACCCTTGAGAGGTCGGTGAACATGGGGCCGGGAAAATACGGGTCAGACCGATTGGGATAATCTTCAATGCCATTATTATTGATTTATTGATCAATTGATTAATTTATGATTGAATTCCTTGGCAGGTTCTCTAGTCTCATGGTATGCAATAATCTTCTGAGAACGGGGTAAGAATCCCGATTTTCTTCCTCCGTACAGCCGTTAGTTCGAGGGGGCCAGGCAGGAAAGCAGGTACTAACCAGCTTAGTCCACTAGGCCCAGAGAGCTCCGGGAAAATTCAAATGAGAAAGAGGGGCACTGACAGATCCCTGCACCGCAGCTCGCTATCGACGGCCCGATACCCGCTGCACATACAGCGTACAGTAGTTTAGGGGGCCATGGGGGGAGGGATCCGCCTGAATCGACATAGCATTTCCTTACTGGAAAAGGAAATAGTCTTCCGTGAGAATTTGAGCGCTGAATGATAAAGGAAATATTAAAATGAGGGAGTGGGCCAGGATTCGGTTGTGGCTTTTTTTTCCTATATTATTCGTACTATTTATTCATTTTATTCGTCATTCTTTTGCTTTTTTTTATATATTAGTTTGTATCATTCTGTTTTCCCCCCGGTAGAAATGAAGAAATGGAGAATATTAATCTAAAAACCAGCTCAAATGAAAGATCCACTATCAATCCACCCAGTTATTGGTACGGCAACTCCGCAATTCGGGTGTGATGCATCGTATCGAACCGTTGAGCCGAAAATGTAAGGAGGATGACCAGTTCTTATATGATAGGTATACCTAGGAGGAACAATAATATGAATAATAGCCAGTATTTGAAATATCTCTCTCAATCATTTACTCACCCTGTCATTAATTAACTCTGTAGGAGTAGAAATCAAATAGAATATAATTCATGTGTCAATTCTTTGACTGATCCTCCGGGGTTTTCCGTGTATCAACTCGGTGGATCAACTATGGAGTATAGGGTTAGAGGTTACATACGGAGACTAGAGAAATCCTTCCAAGGTTTAGTGTCCATAACAAGGCTCCCATAGCTAGAACCTCCACTTCAATGTTTACGTCGTCAATCTCACGTCGATCGACGGGTTCGTCCGTACCTTGCAGCGAGTTACCCTGCAGACTTTGTCCGTGCAGATTTCAGGCTTTCAGGCTTTTTTTTTTAGAGAGAACAGAGGACTTTCTTTCATTTGATTTCTTTTTCCCTCTCTCTCTACTTTTCTGGCCTTTTTTTTTCTTCAGGTAGCACTATTATCATGTACAAATGATGCGGGCTTTTTTTTGGTTCCCTCTCCTACTCCGTACCCTTGTCTATAATGTTTCACCAGGGGCTGCCATGCTTTTCCCATGCTGTCCCTCACACATCACAGGCAAATTATGCCCGAAGCCGTCTGGGCAGACGTTGATGCCAGATAAGGCCATCAAACTGACGATCGGGGACACGCACAATGGGTACAAGGCCTTTGAGGGCGTGTGTGGTACAGCATAATTACGGAGTACGATTGTACAGCGTGAGACTCGGACACGAGGGGAATTTGACCAAAAGCCGATAACTGACAGAGATGTTCCCTGCAGTCTATTGATGTGTTGTACAGGATGGGGCAAATTAAAAAGCATCGACCAAGATAGCCTCCGTATAGCCCCGTCTACTGCTACTACCATAGGTCCACGGTATGAGGTACTTAGCCCAAGTAGGTATAGACGGGGGGAACCTTTAGATATACTAACGGTATGGAGTACATATACAACCCTGAAACAATCTAATATTCAAATTGTGACTCTGCCTCTTTTTTTTTCCCATGTGACTTGAGTGATTTGCTGTGAGCCAGACGCCACCCACTTCCTTCGCGCGAATAACAACGCACCACGACTCCAGGATCTGGCGTGATGGAACTAGGCTGGGGCCGTGCAACCTTGGATTTAACCTCGCATTGCATTTTCCCGTGGAGCCAAGAGATCGACTGCACGTTCATCTTGCCTTTGAACACTCTAGCGCTTGTGTAGCAAAAGAGAGGGGAAAGGAGAAGAGACCCAATAATTGATTATGAAGTACGGAGTACTCGGTAGTTAAGTGTGTTGGGTATTTTGTCTGTTGTATGTTGTACAGGGTACTCCATACTCCATACCAATATAACCATATCCCCTCCTAGTAAATTCCTCTAATCCAAAAAAAAAAAAAAAAAACTAGGTTCTTGAATAAGTCGACCGCTGTAACCGTTAGCAAGCGCCACCATTCTCGAGTCATTTACTCCATTCGCTTTTTGCTCCAGTGACCATAAGTCTAGTTCACCAAAATATAAACCTGAAATTCCTCATATCTCCGAAATAGCCAGGATGGCTCGAGCCAAATGTGTAACGAGACTAAAACCCCCCATCCAAGTCAGCGGCGCCAATGATTGGCTTTTTACGCCAGCAGCCCGCCGATCGGTGATCCAACGCAACAATGACTGGCTGCGGCAACAACCACGTAGGAAGGGCTAGATCGTGTGGATTCACCGCCAGTTGGCCCCCCTTGCGTGCAGACGTGGCACAGAGCATTATCTCATACTCCGTAGCTCCATCTGGGTATGCAGTGACCCGCTGCTGTGGAGGTTTGATGTTTTGAGATGTATATCGACCGTTGGTTTGTATGGGATTAGGATTATTATCCCCCTATATTATATACACTACGGGGGATTGGTGGGACAAATATCAACGATTTTAAGATGAACAAAAAAATAAAAATTGAAAAGGGAAAAATGTCCCCAAATTCGCCGATGTCGGGCTATTTTGTCCGATCGGCGCAACGTCAGAGGGCAGATAAGGAAATGTAGAAAACATGAAGGTCTAACTTGGATGTACAACATCCAAACATGCCACTCTTGTGAGATGCTTTCTATGTTGTACAAAATGTACCAGCACTCATATTTACTTCAAGTCTACTTCTGCACTACCCCAACATTTCAGCCTATACAAACCAAAGGAGCCATAAGCATAAGCATAATCATAATCATAAATCATGAACTTATCTGCAAAGCCCATGTGATACTAGCATTCCTATCAAAATAAGCAATTCTCCCCTGTGCTAATGTCATCCCTGAGAATGGCAATGATAATACCTCCCTCCCCAAAAAAACACGAGTCTGGAACCAGGGAGATCCCAGTCTGAGTCTGGAACACCAGACCTAATCCCAATAGACAGAACACAAAAGAACAAAAAGAAAAATCCAAATAAGCTCCAAGCCCCAAAAGAGGAAATGAGTAGTCCGCTCACCGTCTCTTCGTTGTCTCAGGTCACATTTTATAGTATGTACTTGTGCATCTGACACCAAAAACACGCGCCGTCCACGCTTCTATCTCCCCGGGGAGGCGTCGCTAGTCGATCGAAGAATGCAAATACTATGCAGCGTGCAGTTCCCCCCTCCCCAAGCTGCAGGTATCATGTACGATGAACCAGCGCCTGAGTGACAAGCTAGCTGCCAAGTGCCAGCGCAGGGCAGCCAAGACTAAGCGTGTAAGTGCAAGTGCAAGTGCCGCCCACAGACTGGGTTGCTGTGCATGAGATAATGTACATGTACATACAGAGTATGAAGTACGGAATACATACAGAGGAGTTAGTTAACTAATAGAGTCAGAGTTCAGCCTAACTACTCCATACTCCGTATTACTCTATGGGTGCGAATCATTCCCGGGTTGTAGGTCAGCACGCGTGGGAATTTTCCACATTCTCGAAGCATGTCTGCCATTCATATTGTGCATGGAGTGGATAGTGCAGATTGTGTCTTGGGTGTGTCTAGGACTTTGTTGAATTGTATTTTTGCTTTTTTGGGGGGAAATGGAAATTTATTTGCTGTGGTTGGTGCGGGTTGGGGAATGTCTGGGGGGAGGTGGGGGTGGTAGATGGAGGATGGGGGGGGATGGGGGATGATGGGGTTGGCAGTTCGCTGGAATCTTCCAAGGTTCTTACCTGTGTGTTCAGGCCTCACAACTTCACAGAGGTACGTATTCACCGCTGGTTGAGGACCTGCATCGACTGCAAGTCTCGTGTCAAGGGATAATCCGTGTTTGTGGTGTGCTGGTATCTAGCGGTGGGAGGTTGGTATACCCCTTGATTAGGGATCGGGATGGCGGGATTGGATTGTTGCAGATTGTCTTCGTAGACCGATTGTTTCCCGTGGGAAAATGGTGGGAATAGATTAGATAGACTTGGTCTCGACTTTTTGCTGGGATGGCTATTAGAGGCTTCGGTTTTATGCTTATTCTTTGGTTTGTTCTTATGCTTACATAGTATGCAGTGAGTTTGTGCTTTGATCTCGATCTGATAGGGGTTGACGATGGTAATGCAATCCTTTACGCACGGCGGATCAGTGCTGACAGCGTCGATGCATTGACTCGAAGGGACGGGCATATCTGCAGTGCTCTGTGTTATGTACAAGGTAGACCTGAACACGCTTCTAGAAGGCATGGTTGATGCAGTATATGCTGTCTCCCGTCGTTCATGTAGGGATGCTACGGTTCCTGCTGATAGATCGCCGGGATCATATCTGTACTGCCTCGGTAGAATATATATATAAGTCAAAGCGTGTGAGGTTGACCCTTTAAGCTTCGACCGCTAGGTTTGGGATATGTGGTTTGATAAATATATCCTGGGATATGGTGCATCTCCAGATATATATCCACTTCTCAAGTTAGAGGTACGAGTTGGCATGGCTAATACAGACCAGGGATTCTGATTGATAAAATGGAAAAGTCGCAGCGAGAAGATATATAAATACACTACACGAAGAAACTAGGCATAATTTGAAAAGAGAGTGTTTGTCCATTGAAGTAACTCTAAAGCTAACAATATTCCGACAAAGTTCTATACCAGACCCAACCATATTCATCATTTTTACATGGCATATCTCATCAAAGGTGCAGAGCATAATCACACATCACGGTTGGTATATTTATCGCTTACCAGCCTGAGCAAAGATCTGCTGCCAAATGTCGATCCACTGCTGATGCTTATAGGACAATGGACGATGGGGGTTGCGGAAAGTGTTCGAGAGGATCTCGCGCAGGCGGCTGTTCAAGATCTTCAAGGCTAACATAGACTTCCAATCTCGTACAGCGAATCGAATACGGTTCGCGTCGATGGAGACGACACCTGAATACATCTATTTTGAAGGTGGTTAGCTGATTGTCAGAAATGGGGAAGGAAGGGAAGCACGAAAAATGATCAATGTCGTACCTTGAACTCAGCATCACCACACAGCAAAGCTATAGCGAAATCGTCCACGGCGCTAGTATCATGCGCATTAAGGTTGCGGGCACGTGCCATGATGCTATAGTATGATAGCCATTTGACGGACGGATCCGCCCTCTTGTTTACAGAAACAGCAGGTAGTGAAACTGTCTGGTTGTTGCCAACGTTGCGCCATCCCTTGCCCTCGCGCGTCAGAAGCTTAGGATAGAAACTCCAGGCGATGACCGAATTGATCACGACATCGTTGTTGCTGTTGACGTCGAAGTCTTCAGGAATGATGAAGAATTGGCAGTTTCGGCTGTTGGAGCGTGCACTGTGGGGTTGGTTAGCATTTGTCGGGCTGAGACATGATGTTTGGACGACAAAGGATCTTTTACCGGTTGAGGGCCGCTTTCTGTGATGCATCTAGAGTTAGAAGACCTGCATCGGCAATTGATACTACCAGTTGCATCTTGATATCCTCGATCGCTAGCAATGTCTGCGCGCTGAGGAAATTCTTTCGGCAGAAAGCATACTCATTGGACCCCGGTGTGCTTCTTGTGCGTCTCCAGCTGCAATAGGCATTGTATACGGTCAAGAGATCGGAGTCACCTAGTATCTGTTAGTTATCAACTGTGAGAGATCGATATATTGGGACATGCCTCTTCGGAAAGACGCCCGGGCGCCATCGCGTTGTGAGTTGGATCCGATTGTGTTCACAAATGGCGATTTGGAAGAAAGGATAGCAGCAATGCTGACAGTCGCATCTAAGCACCGGAAGAAGGCTCCATGGATGATCATTTTGCCGAGGAAGACATCCAGCGGTAGCTTTGCTAGTTGTGTTCCGAGGGAGGTTAAACTCTCGTTGCTCGTCAGGGCTTTAACTTCCTTTAATGAATCAATGGCGCGGCGAATGTTTTTAGACGATGGCGGGTCAAGAGCTTCGAGGAGTGTCTGCTCCACTTCTCCCAATTTGCAGATCTTCACACGAAGCACCAAATCCTGCAAAGAAAGGCGCAACAGTTCAGGGGTTTGCTGCTCAGAAAGCAACTTTTCATGGCGGTGTTTAGTGAACAGGTGGAAGCAGATACCGTTCTGGACACGTCCAGCACGACCGCGACGCTGTTTCGCGTTCGCACGCGAGATAAATGACTCAACCAGACGGGACAATTGACGTCTCTCATCAAAGCGCATGATCTTCTCCTTTCCTGCGTCGATGACAGCTGTGATATCCGGGATAGTGATACCTGTTTCCGCAATGTTCGTTGCAATAACAATCTTTCTTGTGCCTTCCGGGGGTACATTGAAGGCCTTTTCTTGGTCCTCACTGGCAATTGAAGAGTGAAGCGTATGTACAATCCATCCCCTCTGGAACATTGGCTCGGACAGGATCTCGTCGTTCAAGCGACGGATTTCTGCCAGTCCAGGCATGAAGATCAAGATCGCCTTGCTGTAGTGAGCCATCTCCGGGGCCGTGGCAATCTTCAGAAGCAATCTCTTGATCAAGTCATAGTCTAGTCTGTACTCATCGATGTTGATAACAGTCTCCTTGGTCTGTCTAGAGTACCCATCAAGACTGGCTTGGAGACCTCCCGTGGTGTCGGCATCTGTGGGTGGGTCATCCATATCATCATCAAGGACTGTGTGTTGCGCATCCTCCGACAGACGGTAGTTGGTCATCTCAACCGCATCCTCCAGATACTTCATTTCCACGGGGAAAGTTCGCCCTGGGATGTTCAGAACTGGCACCCCGCCGAGATAGTTCGAGAGACGTTGCGCATCCAGGGTAGCTGACATGAGAATGAGTTTTAGGTCAGGCCGCTTCTCCATGAGTCGGCGGAGCACGATCAGAAGGAAGTCGCTGTCGATAGTGCGCTCGTGAACTTCGTCGAGAACCACATGGGTTATGTCTTGGAAGTCGTCGGGCCGTTCGAGCATTCGTACAACCACTCCCGTTGTCCTATAAAGTATTAGCTGAGCAACCACACAGTAAAACCTAGAGAGAAGCGAGAACTTACGCATAGATCAATGGCGTGGATTGAGTAAACTTGCTTTCCAACCGCACCGCAAATCCAATGAGAGATCTGTTCGTGCCCACATCATTCTTGCTCTCACCAAGCTCCTCGCTGACACGCCGAGCAAGCGAGATTGCAGAGATACGACGCGGCTCGGTCACATAAATTTTGCATGGTCGGCCTTGGATCATCTCATGCTCGAGAATGAATGACGGAATCTGTGTACTCTTTCCGCTACCTGTTTCACTGCAAATAATCAGAGCTCGATGATCATCGAGGGTACTCAGGATCTCATCTTTAAACCCCCAGATTGGGAGGTTCATTCTACTCTGCATCATGCGGTGGTAGGAGGGCGTCGACGATTTAGCCATCCATGCTTCTTTCAAGCGGTCATCAATATCCCCGAAATTGTCGCGCGCAGACCCCTTAACCTGCGTACCCGGCTTGCTACCAACGCCGTTTCTCTTCCGGAAGTTGTCAGATAGAACAACATCATCTTCGAAGGTTCCTTGGTTCTCTTGGATCAGACGCTTCAACTCTTTTACGGTGGCTTTGTCGATTTCATCTTGTTGGGTCTTCTGCAGTGTTGCAAACTCAGTCCAGAGTTCTCTCCAAACCGCTGGCAACCGCAGGTAGGCCTTGCCCTCCTTGGAATTCTGTGGGAACAAGATGAACAAAGCCAGAGTAGACACGTATCCCTCGGCCTGCTGCGCATCTGGGGTTACAAGGGCATCCATTGACACAAAAGTTGCCAAGGCATTCGATTTGTGCGTAATCGATTCCACTGCTAACGGGAAGGGGGTTTCCTGGGGCTTCGACCATCGGACCTCCAGAGCCTTTCTGCTCGAATGACTTGAGGAGGAGAAATCTTGGTAGGCAACCACGCAAGATGAGTCTCTTGATTTGCAAGTCTCCTCCAAGACTCGCCGGGGGCTCAGGCCGGTCGATTTCCCAAAGTCGCGGAGTGTGAATGATGTCTGGGTCTCTGGAGGAGGAATGCCTAAAATCGAGCCTGAATCCTCAGCTTCACCTTGGAACAAATCCCCAAGGGCATCCTCCATTCCGTCGATCGCAAGGAGGGCCGGGTCTAGCTCTTCCTCAATATCGGGCTTTGGCTGATCTTCTGCATCGGTCGGAGACTTTTTCTTTCTGTCCACCGGGCGCCGGATGAATGAAGCATCCTTTCTGAGCTCGTCCAGCTTTTGCTCCCATATATACTCTGCTTCTCGGCGTTCGAAAAGGACATCACGTTCGATTTTAGCAATCTTCCGCTGTAATTTAGAGGCTTCGGGGTCATTTGACAGATTACCAGCGCCGCCGCGACCTTTCTTGCCCTTTCCAGGGCGATCGAAGAGATCTGGCTCCAGGCTGTAGAGTTGAGTCTGCAGCTCCAGCCATTCGGGAACCATGATATCTGGGTCGACTGAGCTGTCGGAGTCATATGAAATAGGAGGGGCAACCTTTGCTGCCTTCCAGTCATCCTTTTTCTTTCCTTGCTTGCTTCGATTTTGGGATGAAACAGGAGTCGAAGTCCCTGAAGCTTTCGATTCTGTCAAAGAGTTAGCACTATGTCCCAATGGAAAACCTCAAGCCATAGAAAGGTTTACCTGTCATCCATGAGGTGACAGTATCTGTGTCTTTCAGTGGGCGAGTGTTTGTCTGTGTGTAAGAGGGTAGTTCATTCTTATCACTGTGCGTAGCCAACCATTCAATTGCTTCATCCAGGTTCCACACAACATCCCGACCGGCACTGGTT